AGCCCGACACCCGGCTCCCGCGGGGTCCCCGCCCGCCCTCGGCCGCGCAGGCGGAAAGCTTTTCCCTTGCAGCAAATCTCGGCGTCCCCTGGCAAAGGCGAGGAAGAGTTAATCCCGATTCTCTTCAGGAAAATGGGGGTAGGGAGCTTATGCTGGCAGACTGCTGCACCTCCATCCCTCTCATCCTTCCAGCCTCCCCTTTCCCGCCGTGGAGACTTCTGTCCCCTCAAAGGATCATCCCGTTCCTGCTGCCTTCCTCCCATGACATGTTTTTAGCTCTTGTGTTGAGGTCTTGTAGTTGAGGTCTTCCTGGCACCAGGAAGATTGGAATAATCACCCCATGTATGTGCAGTAGTTACCACCTACATCTCCGTGCCTGCTGATAGAAGCCAGGAAGTTTTTTCATTTTTTGCAATGCCATCTCCCTGATTTCTGTTTCAGGACAGCCTACAGTTCCTTTATCCCTACACTGATCTATTCTTCATGTGCATTTGTGCTTTGGTTTTGCTTTCCTCCATTTTTACAAAATTTTGTCTTACTCGTTTTTGGCAATACACCATAATCAACTTAAATTTAAATTCCTCCCCCCATGCCCTCTGTACACCTCCTGTATTGGTATCATCAACCAATGATGTTGTTTACGTATGTGTCAAAACCTTGTTTAAGTCAACTTCATCAGTTGGTTTGCTTTCTCCATTGCAGTACCAAAAAAAGAAAGGTATAATGTAATTTGCTCCCCATAAATCACCACTGACTTTTTTAATCATCTGGATGATGTCATGTGGGTGCTTGTATATTTCTTGCATTATGCTTTGCTGTAGTTTCTTTCCTCTATTGGAACTGCAGGAGGCACTAATTGCCTTTTAAACACAGGTTTTAAATTGTCCTCATCTGGTCTTCTGGGACCTCCTTTACCATTCAGGAACTAACAAAGATAACTGGAAATTATTTGGGTTGCCCAGGGAAGTTGTGGTACCTCCATCCTCGGAGGTTTTCAAGATGCAGTTGGATATAGCCCTGAGCAACATGGTGGGTCCCATAGCTAACCATGCTTTGAGCGTGAGGTTGGATGAGAGACCTCTTGAAGTCCCTTTCCACCTCAGTTACTGTATTTAGCTTCTCTGAACTCTCCTTACTCAGTTCCTTCTTAAGCCTCAGTAGCAACGGGGAAAAGAAGATTTATGCAGCTTCATGTCTTAAAATTAGCTGTAGATCTTAATGACATGCTGAAGAAAAATGGATATGTTCCTTCCAAACCATTGGGAAAGTAGTGTGTGGCCTGGTAGGCATCCAACAGCCATGGAGGTATTTGTTGGTTCGGACAAGCAACATGGGAGAAAGGGATTTTGCTGCTAGGTCCAGTTTTACAAGGGATTTGCAGGTAAATCCCAGCTTTTTGAATGCAGGATTCTACACTGTCCTGGAATAAATGTAAGCATTTAACTGCAAGTTTCCCTGGGTTAGTTGAGATAAAACTGAGCACTGAAGACAAGACCTGATAACTCAGTCTTACTCCAAATGCTGAAGGAGCTGCAGGCATAAATCCTTTTACTTGCCAGCAGTGATCCGTCACTCCCTGTATGTAAGTTTTTTTACCAGGCTGTTTGTTGCAGTGATTTACTGCCTACTTTGACAATCATGCCCAACTTTCTTATCACAGATGTAAACTGACTAACAGTTAAGTATTTAACTGATGCTCAAGTCAAGTTTACTCCTCTAAGTTCCTTATCAAATAACCATCATGCTCTTGGATCCTTTCAGCAGGTTTAGAAAATAAAACATTTCTTTTCTTTTCTGTTGGCTATAGGAGTGATGTGGGAATAACCTGTTCTGTGTGAAAGACAAGAAAGAAAACATTTGATAAAGGGAAGAAACAAAACATCTGATAAATGGAAGCCATGAAGATATCAAAGCGGTTCTTCGCTTTGGGGATTTTGGCATGCATAGCTATTTATGTTGCATACATAAAATGGCACTTGGATTCCAAGCCAGTTGTGGGAGCAACAGAAGGAGTTGCTGAAAGCAGGGGAGACAAACTGAACCATCAAGCACTGAACACAGATCTCTCGGTCTTTTATGGAATTATGTTTGATGCAGGAAGCACAGGAACTCGCATCCATATTTTTAAATTTACACGGCAACCAAAAGGTATGGCCTGCTCATTACATGATAGATTAATTCTTCCATAATGTATGGAGCAGATTATTGATTATTCTTTTCTAGGGATTACTTGAACAAACATGCTTCAGCTCTTTCTAGAGAGCCATCAGGACATATATTATGATTCAAGCATTTAGGTTTGGATGAAATTATGAAAACATTCAACAAGGAGAAAATGCTCTAATGACAGAATGTGAGCTAAATACCAGCTGTACCTTTAGAACAGTGCTTGAAGAAGAGCAGTTTTGCATCACACTGCTGGGTGGAAGAGGACTGGAAGTTCAAACTGCCTTATTCCCCCAAATTTTCACCATAAGGTTGTTGGCTGTCTCCAGTTCCTGGCAATGAGCTGCTTCTCTCTGCATTGTCTGGTTTAGTGCATCATAGAATCATAGAATCTTTGAGTTGGAAAGGAGCTTTAAAGGTCATCTAGTCCAACCCCCCTGCAATGAGCAGGGACATCTTTAGCTAGATCATGTTACTCAGAGCCCCATCCAACCTGACCTTGAGTGTTTCCAGGGATGGGGCATGTACCACCTGTCTGGGCAACCTGTGCCAGTGTTTCACCACCCTCATGGCCAAAAATTTCTTCCTTATATCTGGTCGAAATCTGCCCTTTTTTAGTTTAAAACCCTTACGCCTTCCTATCACTACAGGTCCTGTTAAAAGGTCTGTCCCTACCTTTCCTATAAGCCCCCTTTAGGTACTGGAAGGCTGCAAGAAGGTCTCCCCAAAGCCTCCTCTTCTCCAGGCTGAACAACCCCAACTCCCTCAGCCTATCCTCATAGGAGAGGTGTTCCATCCCTCTGATCATTTTTGTGGCCCTCCTCTGGACCCTTTCCAGTAGCTCCATGTCTTTCCTGTGCTGAGGGCTCCAGAGCTGGACGCAGGACTCCAGGTGGGGTCTTACCAGAGCAGAGCAGAAGGGTAGAATCCCCTCCCTTGTCCTGCTGGCCACACTTCTTTTGATGCAGCCTAGGATATGGTTGGCCTTTTGGGCTGCAAGCGCACATTGCCAGGTCACGTCCAGCTTTTCATCCACCCGTACCCCCAAGTCCTCAGCAGGGCTCCTATTGATCCCTTCATCCCCCAGCCTGGATTGATACCGGGGGCTGCCCTGACCCAGGTGCAGGACCCTGCACTTGACCTTGTTGAACCTCATGAGGTTTCACATGGGCCTATTCCTCAAGCTTGTTCAGGTCCCTCTGGATGGCATCTTGTCCCTCAGGCATGTCAACTGCTCCACTCAGCTTGGTGTTGTCTGCAAACTTGCTGAGGGTGCCCTCGATCCCACTGTTTATGTCACTGATGAATCAAAGAGTGCTGGTCCCAATACAGACCCCTGATGGACACCACTCATCACCGATCTCCATCTGGACATTAAACTGTTGACCACTAGCCTCTGGATGTGACCATCCAACCAATTCCTCATCCACTGAACAGGCCACCCATCAAATCCATCTCTCCAATTTAGAGACAAGGATGTTGTGGGGGACTGTGTCAAAGGCCCTACAGAAGTCCAGATAAATAACATCGGTAGCTCTTCCCTTGTCCACTGATGTGGTCACTCCATCATAGAAGGCCACTAGGTTGGTCAGGCAGGACTTGCCCTTGGTGAAGCCGTGCTGACTGTCTTGAATGACCTCCCTGTCCTCCATGTGCCTTAGCATAGCTTCTAGGAGGATATGTTCCTGATCTTCCCGGGCACAGAGGTGAGGCATCATTGGCTTCAGTGTTAGATTTAAATTGCAGAACTTCACTGTTTGATTAAAATTGCTGTGTATTGCATCTGGACAGAAAGTATTCCTGAGAAGTGAGACTTCAGGAAGCTCCAGTTTTCCTCTGGAGTCATAAGCTTCATTTGTTTAAGTGTTGTTAGCTCCTAGTTGTGAAACTCTTAAAGATGAAAGAACCCATGTGGATGCTGTTAGTAGGTGATCTGAGAATGCTTTTGAGGATTAGCAGTGTGGTGTATGGTGCGATTGGTCTGTGGAGAACGCCTTAGGTTTGCAGAAAGTGCTAGTGTAAGGCTGAGCCACCAAAGGCGTTAAACAGCAGTCCATGGATTTCCTTCATTCTTCTTTCAGTATATTCCCCAATCTTTGCTTCTTTCTTGCCTGCTTCTCCTTAAAGACAATTTCAGAATATATTGCAGGAAACTTTATGGAGTGTAGTTGAGTACAGGAGGAGGATGTTGTCAAGTTCATGTTGTCTTGCCTACAGGTTCATGTAATTGTCTATAACTGTGGGTTTCCAAAATACATAGGTCTGGCTCCCTCTGCTGCCATTGAAAATGGTGGTAAAGCTTCCACTGGGTTTTGCTGGAGTCAAGTTTAGCCAGAACAGAGCACGCTGTAAAACAGGGTCTTTGTTACCGGTGCTGTTTGGAAAGTGCTCAAAGAGAACTTGCACTCATCTGATGATTGTATGACGTGCATGAAAAATATGTGCATAGTGGACACCAGCACCTGAAAAACAATCACGACTTTTAAAAATGGTTTTCTTGGGAGCTAATTCCATAGCAAGGGCTGTATTTAAAGTTTGGGTGGCCGTTGATAGTTTGTTAGACAGAGGCTTCAGTTTACTTCCATTAGCACATAATGATGTAATTTGTAAAATTATTTTCTTTTTGTCTATGCAAAATTCTTGGTACCATTACTTATTTTAGAATACTGCTTTTGAACAGAGACTCCCAAATTAACCCATGAGACGTTTAAAGCACTGAAGCCAGGTCTATCCGCATATGCTGATGATGTCGAAAAGGTAATTTTGTTCCTGTTACTGTAAAGTACTTGTGCCAAAACCTCCTGTTCTTGATATGCCCTGCAAATCCACAGTTGGCTGTGGTACAGTATGCTGAACTGTCTCAGTTCAGGGAAATGTCTCCAAATGAAACAAGCCCACAGTAAAAGTTGGTCAACGCGCAGAGGAGCAGAACACATCTAGTTCTGCTCAGTAATGTTAGTTAAGCACAGTGGATGTTTTTCTTGTCTCCTCCTTAAGAATTTTGATGCACGCGCTTAAGAAAATGACAAAAGAGCTGTGTTGGATTGCAGCAGAGCCTTCTCCAAAAGTGACCGGAATTGGATTCTCAGAGAAGTAATTTAAAAAATAGGCCAAGTGCTAAAGTGACTTCTCTCCCATCTCTCTTACCTTCTGGCTTACAGGGGTTTGGGGACTTCCTGAGCCAGATTTACACTGAGCTCGTAGTGTAGGCCTCCAAAGGCCTTTTTTTACCCAAGCATTTGTCATCATACTGCCTTTTGAACCTTATGTAGCCAAAATATTCCATGGCAGAGAGTTCTATGTCACTGTTTGAAAAAGTGACTCTTCCTGTTTGTTTTTGACCTGTTGCTGGATAATCCCCATTATATCCATCAGGTCTCATGCTGACCCCTTGTGATATTCACTTGTCTCTCTTCCACATTTACAGTCAGTCATACCTCTGATCACCCTTTCGCTCCTCCAAGAAAGGGAAATATAAAGAGTTTCTAAGATGCCTTTTTTTGTTCTTTCTCTGCTCACAGAGTGGCCAGGGAATAAAAGAGCTCTTGGAGGTGGCAAAGAAGGAAGTTCCTATGGAGCTGTGGAAGTTTACTCCTCTGGTCCTGAAAGCCACAGCTGGCCTACGGTTGCTGCCAGGAGAGAAAGCTCAGAAGTTGCTGGATAAGGTACTATTTCTTGTCTTTCAGTTTGCTTTCCAAAAAATTTATAGCAAAATTTGGTCGCTTCTGTGTGAGGTACATACTCCTTTATCTTCATGTACATGAGCCATTGCTATCATTTAACGCTGAAAGCAATGCAGAGGCACCTGATCTCAGATGGAGTTGGGGGGAGAAATTGTGTGAGTACAAGCACAGAGGAATGACGACAGCTCCAAATAAGCCTGGAGATGACACATGACATAACAAGTGTAATGAGATAAACCTAACAGTCACCACAGGTTTGTTCTTACTGGGTGTGTTTGTTGGTTTTGACCAGGATCCTGCTATTTTGAGAAAAACACTCTGCCATTTAATTGATCATGTTATCAGCCTGCTGCTGCAAGGTTACTCCTTTATATTGATTGGAAATAATGTACATTGTATTTATAGGCATGTAAAATATGTTTAATATTTTAAAATACTATAAAAAGAAACAAAATATTATGTTCTAGATGTTATGGCTGTGGGCAAAGTTTATTAAGTATGCACTAAGTGTACTCTTTTTCTTAGCAATAATCGGAAGGAGGAAGTGTGGTGTGGTTGAAACCAATGTCTGTATTGTTCTCTGCTGCCTGCAAGCTGGCCTGTTCTTTTCCACACTGAATTTCAGCTGGAACTGCTGCAGTTGTTACTTCAGGAAAGGAGCACTGTTACTCTAGGCCTTTGCTGCCTCATGTAGGATGTAGTGGAGAGGACCTCTAACAGCTGACATACTCCTGTTAAAAATGCCATTCCCTGGGGCATTCCGGAAAGCCAGGGTGTCCCATCTCCTGCCTCTCCCATGCATCTATAATACCCTGTGGGTTGCCAATTGCAGCAAACGGTGTTCCCTTCCCTACCCATGTCCATCCCTTGTTAATGGCATTTCTGAGCAGTCTTCATGCTCGAAAACCTACTCATCCATCCCTGTCTTTGCACCAAACTGCAGAGCCAGGGTGTAAATCATTGACCTTTCAGCAGAGTGCAGGCTGATGCTTGTTGGGCTCTTGAACTTCAAGCAAAATGGTGAGCAGCAGTCAGGATCTGGCCCAAGAAAGGGAGCAGTTGTGTAAAACTGGAGTTCTAAAAAAACTTGCTTTCCAGCTGAAAAAAGATTTCTCTGAGTGTAGCTTTTATTTGAACTACAGGTGAAGGAGATTTTTCAGGCCTCCCCCTTCTTTGTGAGGGACAACTGCGTGTCAATAATGAATGGAACTGATGAAGGTAGGCTAACTTGAGGAGACCTTTTCTGTAATCCTGGAGATACCTGCTGGACTGTGACAAGTCCCCACTCACTGTAGTGGGAACCCACAAGCAGCAGGTTTGACACAGTTTTTATGCTGCCTCAGGCAGTGCCTGCCAAAGAGATTTTGTGCTACATTTTCCAATTTAAAGTCCTGAACTCTGTGCCGATTTTCAAAGCTCTGAGTGCCGGGCAGCTCCTGTGGGATCACCAGGAAGCCACTGTGCAGTCAGCACTTCTGGAAAGTTTTCCGAATATCTGCTTGTTGAGATGGTCTTCAGCAACTGCTTTTGCACACCCTGCTCTTGACAATGCTTATCAGAGCTTTCTGGAAGTATTGGTTAATTATATGTTAATATAATTAATATAGTTAATATAATATGTTAATTATAACTGATCTAATGAGTGTGATTGCAAATTCAGTCTGAAAAAAAATAGAAGAAAATAAATGTTGAAGTAAGTTGATGTTCAAAAAATGCTGAGTACAGAACCCAGGATTAGTCTTGATTTAAAATAATTAGAAGAAACATGTCTAAATTCTAAGTAACTGAGTCCTGAAATGTGTTTTAAATCTGCTTAGAATCCAAACTTTAAAATAGCTGGAGCTGTTTGGAGATGTTTATAAGTTCCTTTTTTTACTGCTTAATGGAAGAAAGACATTGTAATTCTTCTTTTTGTTTTTGTTTTAAAAACGTTAATAGCAGTGACAGCCTTGGTTCAGCCAAGGGTTGAACTGGACCATGTTCCCTAGCATGCCTTGAGTTTTAACCACATGGATAAATATTTGAATTAGTTAACATAAGGCCCACTAATTCATCTAATTGGAGAAAAGGTTTATAAAACAAGAAGAGGACAGAAACAGTGCGGCTCACAAAGATGCTTAGAGGAAAAATTAGAAACACTGAAGAGATGAAAATTCTTAGTATTCAAAAGGAAAGTCGAGTGCCTGACATCAAACAAAAGCCCTACCAGTGGATGTTTTCCTAGAAAATGAAAAATGTGAGTGTCAGTCATTTCCTTATCTTTTAGCTAAGCACTCAAGCCTTTGTGACTTCTTGCTTAAGTTTCTGACCTGCGAAATACAGAGTTCTCCAGGCATTTCATATATGGGGCTTCTCTTCCAAATATCACATAAGCTCTGGTATAGAAGGTCATTCTCTTTGTTCAAGGCATCTGATCTTGTTTTTTGACAGCCGTTGACAGTTGTGGAAACACTGGCTTTGGGGCGAGGTGGGCCAGGGAGAGTCAGCAGAGCCAGTCCTACTTACCCTTCTTGAAGGTCCTTCTTGCTTAGCTCTCAGCTAGACATCCTTTGGAGACTTTATATTAGAAGTCCTCCATTGTGAGAGGGGGACAAGGGAGCTTGTGGCAGATGGTCTCCAGTGTCTCTGTCTATTGTTGGATGACAAACTCTGGTTTGCTAGTTATTTTGGTTAGATGGTGCAGTTAAGCTGTATGAGAAAACTTAAAAATGCTGCCAGCTAAACAGATCCTAAAGCAGGAAGACCTTGTAATACAGCTCACCTTATTTATTACTGTTGTTAGATAAAACAAAATGGTATGATCTGACAGTGTGTCTTCTGAATCTTTTCCTTATTAGGTATTTCAGCCTGGATCACAATAAATTTTTTAACAGGTATGTGTACATGAGTATGTGCATAAAGATATGATGGACGCTGTGAAATTCATGCTGTTTTCTGCCTCTGTATGGGATTTGCTCATTCATTGGGGTGGATTAGGAGAAAGAAGGATCTGGGAATAAGTCAACAGTTGTTTTTGGCCTAGCCTATTTAAGTCGTTAGGATTTTGGCCATTTACTTGACAGAGTAAGGAATTTAATCCCTTTTCCTAGATGTTTAATGTAGCCTTTCTTTCAATTTCCTGTAGCATACCAGTATTTTGTTCCTTTTTAGAGCCTGCCACTAGCTCTCGCTAAAATTTTAATGTGGATATTCAAGATGAGCTTGGCAGCTGCACATAGTGAAAGAAAGTGCTATGCTACTTCCTTACGGATTTATAACATAGAAATACCGCCAAAGTGTTTACACTGCTGAGTTAGAAAAGGGTAGCTGAAGAGTAAAGAAAAAACTATCCTGAAGCCCTCTCTGACAATAAGTAAAGCTCTGTGCTGTCCGAATGCTCTGTTCAGCACATACTGTGTGTGGAGCAATACAACAAATGCTCTAAAGCTTTTAATACTCACAGGAAATATCAGAAAGGTCAGAGATCTTCAAACATCAGCTATCATGAGGTATACAGAGGTACTTGGCACAAACTAGTCTTGTCAGGAAGGTGTATTTGAAGGATCTAACTGAGAAGAACTGGATTTAAATGAGAAGAGAGGTCTGGGCTGGCAGCAGGAAGAATTCCAAGAGAGCCGAGTCTCTTGGGCCAGCTCGCTTCAGTCTGTAATCCCCTGGGCCATAGGAATCTGCAAAATATCACTAAGGAATCAGGGAGAGGTGGCCAAGAAAACCACATTCCTCTGTGTTACGAAGTGGTTTCCAGAGTAGAGTTTGAAAAGTGTCTTTGCATCCACTGAAACATGTTTAGGAATCCAATAACCAAAGCTGCTGTAATTAGGGCATGGACAGCCACCAGAGAAATAAGAAAAACTCTGACACTTGAAGATTTTTAGGTCACCCTTATAAAGCCAAAATAAGTGCCAAGTAGATGAGTGTGTAATTTACTGCTGGCTAGAAGCTGACAGATGGAGTTAGATTGTCCTCTTTCTTTACCACTGTACTTCTGGTTTTATTCATAGCCAGTTTCTCACAGTGTCCACCATAGCTTTCTCTGTTCTGTCACACATTTCAGGTAGCCTAGATGATCCACGGAAGAGAAGTGTAGGGATGCTGGATTTGGGTGGTGGATCAACACAGATCACCTTCCTTCCACACACTGAGGTAATGTGAACATGCACACTGTTGGGAAATACTGGTGCAGAAATCAGTAACTGCTCAGATCTGTTTCCTTTGGAAACAGACCAAGAGTTTGTCACTGTGACGTGAAGCCATGCTTCTGACAGAAAAACCCATGTCACTTGGGCACATCTGCCTTGTTATAGTCAGTCACAGAGGGATTCAAAACTCTTTGTCAGTCCTCTTGCTCCAGCTCCATGGGTCAGTGGTACATATGGTGAATCTGACAGGGCTTCTTTATCTTGGGGAAAATGCAGTGTTCGCCTGAGTGTCTTAATCCTTGACTCTCAGTTTGTGGTGCTTATAATGAATAACTTGAAGGTAATGCTGTTAATGAATTCAAGTCCAACATTTGGTCTATATTGGGTTTTAAGAATACAGTAAGATGCCTTCTCAATCCTTGTTTCTGGTTTTCCAGAGTTCACTCAACTGTAAATGAATGCATTCTAAGGAGCAACTGTTATTATGCAGTAAAAAATACATGCTGATGTTTGTCATTTCAGCTCCTTGTGGTGGCATTTTTATAGGTGTTCTATGAGCTGGAAGCCCTGTGGATATTGAGTTGCAAGGCTCTGGCCTGAGCCCAGATACTGTTCATAGTAAGCTGCACAAAAGGAGAGGATAGGGATGCTGTATCTAGTGTCCCAGCCTGGGCTAATCAAGACATTGTGCTTTTAGCGCAGAATGACAAGGGATGTGAAGAGTCTGGGATGTGGAAATTTTGGACTTAGAGATTGTGTTGAGATATGAGCAGCATGAATAGCATCATGGCCTGAGCTTAGCTCCCCAGGAACACACTAGCAGTGCTGGTGCACTTGGGGAAGAGGCTGCACAGTGCTTTAGATAATTACCCTTTCATTTCCTCAGACCACAGGCTGGTCCTCACTCTATTCCTTGGCAAGCAGTGATGATATGCTTTGCATCTGGCTTGTGGAAGTTCACAGCTGAATTCACTTGAGCAGGAAGTTAATGCGTGCCTGGATTTCATATTTTGCACACAGTTTTCCCTAGTAGAGATCATGTGAAGAGGTAGTTGCTATAGACTCTTGAAAAAAGCAGTTAAGAGTTGAAATAAGGATTCCTTTTTAATTAAAATAATTCTTTTATACACCAATTTGGTGTGGATACAAGTAGAAATGTAACCAGTTTAGACTCTGTCACGTGAAGACACCTGTTTTAGCTCCAGGTTTTGTGATTGTCTCATGTATCAGCGGTCAAATCGAAATACTGGCAAATTCATCATTTCTCTCTGAACCCTGCTAGGATTGTTTCACATTTCTCCTAACGTTTTGGAGGATTGTGTTGTTGACGTTTGCTGCTGCTGGTAGAAACCTTGCAGTGACATCTTTTTCTCCGTCCAGGCAACTCTTCAGACATCACCAGCTGGCCATACAACTTCATTTCAGATGTTTAACAACACCTACAAGCTGTATTCGTACAGGTTAGTTGTGGGAAAGAGAGTTCACTGTACAGATAGAAGCTTTCTATGAAGCCAGTGAGATCTAGCTGTTTTGCTGAAGTGGGGTCCTTGCAAATGAGTACTGGGAAGAAGCAGAGAAACCTGAGCCATGTCACTGTGGTGGATTGACCTTAGCTGCCCACCAGGTGCCCACCAAGCTGCTCTATCACTCCCCCTCCATCAACACGACAAGGGGAAGAAAATACGACAAAAAGCTCGTGGGTCAAGATAGGGAGGTCACTTACCAGTTACAGTCATGGGCAAAACAGACTCAACTTAGAGAAGTTAAGTTAATTTATTGCCAGTTAAGCAGTAGGATAATGAGAAATAAGAACAAAATAAAAAAACACCTTCACCTCACCTCTCCCTTCTTCCCAGGCTCAGCTTCACTCCCAACTTTTCTACCTCCTCACCCCTGAGTGGTGCAGGGGGGTGGAGAGTGGGGTTGCAGTCAGTTCATAGTGCTCTGTCTGTGCCACTCGTTCCTCTTCACTGCCTTCCCCTGCTCCCAGTGTTTTGGGCAGAGGGAAGCAGCCTCTTCCCACCTGTGTTTGCTGTGGGGTGTGTTTGCACTCAAAAAGAGTCAATTCTGTATGCTAGAGGCTGTGCTGCCTTTGAGGAGGGTAGAAGAAAGGTTATGGGAATGCCTTCAGCCTTCCCAGTTCTTCAAGACCCAGATTACAGCTGACATCTATTGCATGTGCTTTTTCAAAGAGAGATTATCCTTCTGGGTGAGGGGTTGTCACACTGTTCGCCTTACGTGCATTAGCTGGTGACTCGAGCCATTTTGCTGGGATCATGTAGAGGAGACTGTCATGTCCCATCCAAGTTATGAGTTGAGTATCAGAGGAAGGATGTTTGTTGTTCACAGAGGCTTTTATCCCTTTGCAGTTACCTGGGACTCGGGCTGATGTCAGCAAGGCTCGCCATTTTAGGAGGAGTTGAGGGAAAACCCTGTAAGTTATGGGCACTCCTCAAGTCTTGGCTCTGAGCGTAGGGTACGTAGCCCTGTTGTGAGGGGAGGAGTTGTCTGTTCACTGGGCTCGAGGTTCCTGAGTGGTATGTGGACTCCTGTCACCATGGCTGGGTGCATTTGAAACAAATGCAGGAGGTGACACTGGTAGATTCCAGGAGACCTGGATTCTTGCCAGCCCTGGGGGCACATTGAACATCTGAGCCATGACTGGGGCTTAGAGGTGCCTTGCTGAGGCTGTGGGACAGTATGGAGCACGGCTGGAGTTGAGGAATCTGAACTTAACTCCTGTTAACTGTTTTTCCCTAATGTGACTTTGGTTTACTTCTGCAGTAGGAGAAGGGGAGGAATTGATCAGCCCCTGTTTACCACCTGGCTTCAAATCTGAATGGCAACATGCTGAGATAGTGTACAAAATTAAAGGACAGAAGGCAGGTATAGTGATGTATCACTCTTCCTATCTAGGCCAGCATGCTATTAGCAGAGTAAATGATATACTCTCAGCCGCTTGCAAAGGCACTAGATTCTCTGTATACTGTTCTGTCTGGCTTCTCTTGATGTGCTGTAAAAGAGATTCTACAGCTCTTTCCTCTTGTGCCATGGTGTGTCTTGTAAAGTCAGTAAAGCTGCTAGTAGTAATGTAGATCGAGTTGAGTGCTCTCTGAACAGGTCTCTCAAAATCCTTCTGCCTCAAATGATGATGTCTCTTTCTGATGTATCGCATGCTTAGGCCCAACCTGAAGATGGTTAAGTGTTGCCACTGGAAGAAGATGCAGATTTCAGTTCTCTCTCAAGAGCTTTTAAGAGTTTAGGAAGTGCTATTGCACAAAAGGGAGCCTGTTTCCTGGCAGATCCTAAATTGTATGTATATTTAACTCTGCCTATAATATGCTGGGTTTCTTTGCCGTCCTGTAGGTGAGCCTCTGTATGAGTCTTGTTCTAACAAAGTGGCAAAGATGCTCTACAAAAAAGTGCATAAAGCTGAGGAAGTGAAGGACTTGGATTTTTACGCTTTCTCATACTACTATGACTGTGCAGCAGAGGTTGGTCTCATAGGTATGTTTGCTCCTGTTTTCATTTCATTTAAAATGGTAAGCTGTGGAAGAAATGGTAACACTTATAGACATCACAATGCTTTGCTAAGCTGTCATGGAACTTAGTTTTTTGTTGGACTGCTGTGCAGCATTGGTCTCAACTGGATATTGAATGCTATTGAATTTCTATAGAGAAGGGACTGGGGTTGTGAAATAGGACCTGCATCTTCTGGTAATGGTTTTTAAACAAACTGTCTGCATTTCAGAAGTTGTAGGTTAATCAGATTAACTCTACAATCCAGAGTAGAAGAAAGCCTCATCATGATAAAAAAAATTCTTGGGCAGTAAAGCAAATCAGACTTGTGATATTGGGCTGTGTGTTTTGCTTCACTGACCTTTTTAGATGGAATGAAGATTTTCAGGTAATTCCACATGTATTCAGAATGCATCCCATCTCTTTTTCCAGTGGTATGCTGGTGTACGTAAGGCTATCGTGTTCAGTGGTAGAAAGCAGATTATGAGATCTCAAGCTAGTATGGACAAACATACCCCCGCCCTCAGCCAATTTGTTTTACAAATAATTTCAGATTTAATATGCTGCAGAGCACCACTGCCTTGTCAGATCTGGTCAAAGGCGTTAACTGTGTTCAGGCATCACAGAGCAGGGCAGCACAGACATAGGGACAAGGTGAGAGAGTCTGTAAACCGTGTTTCTTTATGAAATGAGGCTAAAAGTTCTTCATAAAATGAGGGTTTTCAATCTATATTAAGTATCATATAAAGGTTCTTTTACCTTTAAAGCAAGTGTGAGTTTTGTTACTGATTTCAGTGGCTCAAAGGTTTGATTTCCAAACAACTTTTATAACTTTAATCTACAATTGCCTTTTTGCAAAAGCCATTAAAGACTGCATTTTTTTTTCTTTTAGATAAAGAAAAAGGAGGAAGCTTAACCCTTGGTGACTTTGAAATTGCAGCTAAATACGGTGAGTAAAATACAATCAAACACACACTAGTAATTGTGTGTAAATTCATACCCAGGTGGCAAATTCATGACATGCTAAGAAGCCTAATTTTTTTGTTTTAAGTAAATATTGAGCACCTATCTTGAGCACCTCTCTCCATAGCATCTCACCAAGATTTCTGCTTATTTCTGAAAATCTCAACTGTTTTTTATTAATTCTTGCTTTTGCAGCCCACATCAGACACATCTTATAATACTTATATTTCAAAACTCAAAATATACGTGCTGTCATCCTGTTAGCGTAACCTGTTCTAATCTGGTTTAATTTTTCTTTTTGTCTCAATATTTGTTCATATGCTTGATTGTTAATTGGAAGAGGGGGAAAACCGGTTCATAGCTTTTCGCTTCATCAGCTGTGAGAGAACTGCCTACGCAGATTTACAAATGTAAACATTCTTCTCTCAATACCACAAACTCAAGCTTTGATCAAACTGACATGGGGCTTTTTGGTAAACTTTATGAATGACTGTTGCAATTCTGATTTCTGGACTACCATTTATGTAATTCATCCTGAGAAAGGAAGTGGGGTTTATTTTGGTTTTGTCTTTTCTTTTGTCTTTTGTTTCCTTTCATTTTGTCAACATCTGTTGAATGCTTACACTGAAGAAACATAACGCACCTGAGGTTGCTCAGATTTTTAAAGGCTTGAAGTAGATAAAAGAAAGGTTGGAGGCCTTTTTCATCCTTTCACAGAGAGGTACAAGAAATTCAGCTGTCTTAGGGGAGAGACAGAATGCCTTGATCTTCCTTCCAGTGTGCCAAAGCTTTTGTGCTTCTGCTATATGGATGTAATTTCAACCCCATTCTAACAAGTTCTATCACTGTGCAACTCAACTGGCAAGAGCTGCTTTATGGATTCATTTGAGGTTTTTCAAAGCTGAGCTGATGCTAGGCCTGAGCCCACAGTGCGCATTCAGACACTGTTTTCTTTCTCCTTAGTATGTAAGACCATGGAAATCAGCCCTGGAAGCAGCCCTTTTCTCTGCATGGACCTCACGTACATCACCTTCCTCCTGCAAGAACTGGGCTTCCTGAAGAGCCAAGTCTTTAGGGTGATGCACAAAATGTTTGCTGGGGAGAGTGGGCAGAAGGGTGTGGAGGCATTAGTCATCATGCCAGTAGCTCGGTCCTTGGTTTGCCTTCTTGCTACAACACAAGCTCTGTGATTGGGGGTGGAGAGACACTGTCCCCACAATGGTGATAACCAGTTGTGATAACCGTCAGCACTGTATTCACCTTGCATGCTGCATGCTTCTCCTTCTCCCAAATAATGGTGTTTTAACTTTTTTGGTTTTGTTTTCCAGCTTGCCCGGAAAATTGACAATGTTGAAACGAGCTGGGCATTGGGAGCCACTTTTCATTACATCGACTCGCTCAATAGACTGCAGTACTAAAGCTCCCGGAGGGTGACTTTTGGAAATCTTGGTTTTTGCAAGCACAACACGGGAGAATCTGTTGAAGGGCCTGCTTTTCACTTCCAGAGTCCTTTGAGAGATCATCTTAAACTAGGCCCTGCCAAGTCACCTCTATCACTAGCTCTTTTTTTACAGTGCAGAGTGCAGCATCTAAAGAGTAAGCCTTGATTTGACAGCATCTGCAGTCAGCTTGATGTAAAACTTGATCATTGTTGAAGGAAAACCAGGACTCTGCAGGACATCTATGATCTCTATGAGAAAAACACACCTTTTTGGAATATGCCTTTACTATTTGCTTGTACTGTGCTGAAGTTGCTGTAGGAAATGGTCACTCCAGATGGAATGCTTTACTGTCCTGATTTCAGGGTGTTTTTTCCTGTTTGTCAGCAGTTTTCAGTGATGATTTTTATTTTACTACTTCTGTGTTTGAAGGTGAACTTGTGTGTGTGCAAAGACAGTGCATTTACACAGATGTGGTGCTGCAAGGCAGCAGCTTTGAAATGCAGTGTGGAAGTCTCAGCTCTGCCTTCCACTCGCTGAAACAGCAAAACTCAGGAGTGCTCTAGAAACTGGATATGGACTTAAGGGCATGAATCAGAGCCTATATGCCCTGTAGGGTAAAGCCTACAGCGTGAAGTTGGTTCCTTGGCTGCTAGGAGATGGATGGTGGAAGACAACATCAGATTTGCTGGATATAAATGAGCAAGGCCTGGGAGTTGGGTACATGGCTAATGATGGATTTGACAGTTCTAGAATAGGTCAGGGTAAGATCGATGAACAAGATGCAGCCACAAAAATAAACTCTGAGTACAGCTTATGGGACCTCACAGACATTTGTGCCTTGGCAAGGGTGATGCAGGGCCTGGGATGAATGCATTTACATGGTGTTCTGGGTGCCGCTTCCTGCAGACACATCTCACTTCTTTGAAAATTAATTGTGGTTGCACTGAGCCGTGGCAGGGTAGCTGCAATGCACCACTCCAGCAGTGCCCTGTACGCCGGCTGGAAGGGATCTCAGAGGCAGCATGAGCTGGAGAGGATGTGCTGTGCTATTTGTAATCAAACTGTGGCATTGTGTTCTATTTGTATGGATGTTTAGAGCAGACCCGAGTGCTCTTTTGGGGGTGCAAAAGAGCCCAGCCTCCTGGGGAGTCAGCAACTCATGGCCACAGCCTCGTCCTTTCCCTGGGGCAGCGAGATGTGCATGGTGGCATGCGGGGCTGCTGGCTGTGCAGCTGAGTGTACAGGGTACACCTGAACCTCACTGTACTGACAATAAAACCTCAACTTAAAATGAAAACGTCATGGTGGTGGTGTGGCTTTTAGCACCAGCACCCGCAGGGCAGGTGGTTTGAGAAATGAGCGCCAGGACATCACCCCTGTCCCCTCATGCCATCACAGTCCC